GGGTCTGTGATTCAGAGATGTTTTTAAATTATGCATTTCATTTAAAACATTGATTTCACATTTGGAAATGTATCTTCAGGATATTATTATAAACTTCTGCATTTTAGCTATACGATTGTTCACTGTAGTTGGTTATACGGAAAAGTTGGAAACAGCCTAGATGCCTAAAAACAACAGCCTGGTTAAATAAATTATGTCATATCCACACAATGGATTTCTAACCAGATTTTTAAATAATGTAGCAGTGTTTCTCAAATTTTATTGTGAATCAGAATCATCCGGAAGGCTTGTTGAAACCCAGATTGCTGGGCCCCACCTCCAGAGTTTCAGATCAGTCAGCCTGGTATAGGGATCAAGAATTTGCATTTCTGGGAAGCCTGGGTGGCCCAGTTGGTTGAGGGTCTGACTCTTGGTTTTAGTTCAGGTCATGATCTTGTGGTCGTGGGATCAAGCCCCGAGTCAGGCTCTGCACTCAGCACAGAGTCTGCTTCAGATTCTCTCTCCCTTCTGGTCTCGCTCACTCTCTCATAGATAGATAGATAGATGATAGATAGATAGATATAGATAGATAGATAGATAGGTAGATAGATAGATAGATAGATAGCATTTGCATTTCTAACTAGTTCCCAGGTTTGATATTGATGTTGTTGGTCTGGGGGCCACACTTTGAGAACCACTGATGGAGAGTTATTTTCATTGAGTCGGAAAAAATTCACAAGGCATTGTTAAGTTGAAACAAAGCTGTTTACATTATATTCTACATGTATATATACAGAAGCGTAGATGGGAAAATATTGTGGAGTTGGTATTATTCCTGGTTGTCTTTGGGATCTCATTGTAGATTCTTAATGTCGCCTACATTCTGAGTGACAGATTTCTCTGTAAGGAGAGTATTAGCCACTGAAACATAATCAACTTTCTTAATTTGAAAAATAAGATCAGGAAGTCCTGGTCAGTAGCACTAACAAGCTGGAATCATCAAAGCAGCCTTGGTCTTAGATCCCTTCTGTCTTCTTTTTTTTTTTTTTTTAAGATTTTATTTATTTATTCATGAGAGACAGAGAGAGAGAGAGAGAGAGAGAGAGGCAGAGGGAGAAGCAGGATCCCCTCTGAGCAGGGAGCCCGATGCGGGACCCGATCCCAGGACGCTGGGATCATGACCTGAGCTGAAGGCAGACACTTAACCATCTGAGCCACCCAGGCGCCCGATCCCTTCTGTCTTCTATGTCTTGTCAGGAATGTCTCTTCAGAAGCAGTCATTGACAGAGGAGCAGTGATGGGCTCACAGATATATCCTGTTCCTGATGGGGACAAAACCAGAAGAGGCTGATGTTACAGGAGGGCTTCTACGCTTTTTCTTACTTCATTTTAGTAGTGCCACGCAGGCTTCTTCTGGAGATGTTTGAAGAAAAACTGGGTGGGACCCAAAGGGCGACCTGCCAGAAGCTTGAAGCATCTGGATTGGCGCACTCTTTGTTTCCTGACGCAGGATAGATCCATTTCCCAGAGTATCAGATTAAGGCGTCTCCTTTCTGGAAAAAAGATTTCATGGTTTAAATTCCCGTTGACTTTTGTCTGTGGCACTTTGCTGTCTCCGTTCCAGCATGCAGTCTCAGGGGTCATGATGTCCCTACCCCACTGATATCAGTGTGCCAACTGTGGTGTCATGCACATTGAGCACAGAGCTGCCATTCAGCTTCCACAGTCTGGGTTCAGGAAGCCAAAGAGCTTCTAAGTTCCTACAAACCTTGACAGATCTTCCTCTAGCCTTGCATGTGAGAAGCAGTTCTCAGGAGGCAGGGGTTATATGGAGGGAGGGAGAGGGAACGAGGGTAAATGTCAAGGGTAAATATGTGACAGGAACTGAGAGAGCAAACAGTTGCCACCAATGTGGAGGAAAAGGAAGGGTGGGCCACAATTTAAGAGAAGTATGCTATAGACTTTGCAGTGGAACCCTTACGTGGTTGGCACTGTGACCTTTAACATGTCCTTGCATTACTGTGGTCAATAAACCAGGAGGTAGCCACATTATTGGTTTTATTTAGAGTGCCTCACACATTTCTAACAGAATGCCAGTATTTGGGATATTATATGAAAAATAAGCCCCACATAAAACTCACAATGGATTCATTGTTTTTTATTTTTTTAATGATTCAAATGTAAAATTATGTGGTGATATAGGCTATCCTTAAAAGAGACATTACTTCTAGAGCACTGGGTGTTATATGCAACTGATGAATCACTGAACTCTACCTCTGAAACTAATAATACACTGTATGTTAATTAATTGAATTTAAATAAAATAAAATTTTTAAAAAGTAAAAAGAGATGTTAGTAATATATTGACTTTTGAGTAGGTGACATATTATTTGTTGGAAAGTTTTCTTCCATATACTGTTTTCCACACTTTACATGTAAATAAATGGGGTGGAATATTGTTAAAGTTTAGGGTACAAACTTTTCCAAGTTTTGCAAGTTCAAAAATAGCTAGAAATGCAGAAACTGGTTAATGATTCAGTTATTTATAACTGTTTTTATAATACAAGTTCCTACCTCTTCCCTTCTAGTGCAATAACATGAATTCAGTGTATGAATCTGTTTAAGACCTTATAAGAGGAAGTTAAGTTATTTAAAATTTACCTATTAACTTGAATGCCAAAAACAATGTTATAGTCAACCATTCATTTACCAAAAATTTATTCAATATTGACTCTGTGCCAGGCACTGCCCAGGGATCAGTGATTACCCTCAAGAAGTTTACTTTCTAGACTGGGAAGATGGTAAATCCATACACAACTACCACTACAATGTGTCAATTGGTAATAAGTACGAAGAACAAAAATGATGTAAGGCTGCTATAAGGACTTTGTGTTTTATTCTGAAAGAAATGGGAGGTCTTTGGGTGGGGGTAGACTTAAGCAGGATGACATGATCCAACTTCTGTTTATAGAGAATCACTCTGGCTGCGGGGTGGAGAGTATCCATTGAATTACTACCCCCTCCCCCAAACTATATTTCATTTAGGAGAGTTCTGCACCAGTGGGCCTGGAGATGTGATCCTTCACAGTTGATTCTTGCCTTTGCATACTCCCAGTGCAAAATCAGTTTCTAAAATGAAATTTTTATATCCAAAGTATTCCTTAAAGAAATTTTTTTCCTGGAAAACTACTTTTAGATACATTCTCTCTAAATGGGAGTTTATCCAAAGCCTACTTTTTAATAATTACTTTACTTTCAAACTACTTGGTTATCAAAATATTTCTGAATGGAGTTTTAACATACCTCTTTTTTTTTAAAGATTATTTATTTATTTATTTGACACAGAGAGAGAGAGCACAAGCAGGGGGAACAGCAGGCAGAGGAAGAAGCAGGCTCCCCGCTGAGCAGGGAGCCCAATGCAGGGCTCGATCCCAGAACCCCGGGATCATGACCTGAGCTGAAGGCAGATGCTTAATGACTGAGCCACCCAGGCGCCCTCACATATCTTTAAAATATCAAGAGATACCTAAGAATTTTTCAGGGGAGCCTTGTCTCTTATTATATAAATTAACAAGATTGTTTGAAGTTTTGTACTGTTTTTTTTTAAACCTCCATAATAAAGTATAATTTAGTATTGGCCTCCTTATAATACTGGTTTATGTTTTGAGGTAGTTTGGAATTCCTTTTTTATATTCATTGGTTTCCACTGGCAATGATACCCTCTTCGACCAGCCTCTACTCCCTCAAAGTTAACAGACCCATTAGAGAAGTTTGTACCACTCCAGCCCAGGGCCCCTTTTATTACCCCCATTGTATAGACACACACACACACACACACACACACACACACACACGTACACACACAGCACACACACACAGCACACACGCGCGTGCACACGCACGCACACGTACACACACGCGCGTGCACACAGCACACACGTACACACACAGCACACACATGTACACGCACACACACACGCACACACACACGTACACACACACACACATGCGTGCACACGCGCGCATACACACGCCCAAAGTCCGTCCCTTCTGAGTCTTCCTCCCTCTGGTTTCCTCCTCAGAATTAAAGTTTTAAATTGCCTTTTGAGTCTATCTATAACATACACAATAAAAACAGTTTTATTACTTCTACTTTGCATTTAACCATACTGTTAACTAACTTGATCAGCCATTTTACTTCTCTGTATTTGGATTTAAGGGACTTTTAACTGATTTCAGAAATCAAATCCCCCTTGAAAGGACTGTATTTTTACTACTAGTAATAATATTCCAAGAATGTGCCACAGCTTAGAAGGCAGATTCAGAAAGGGAGAACCAAAGGTATTTGTAGCAACAGTGGCCCCAATTAGTTACTGATTAGTCTTCGAAAGGATCACACCTCATTTGGAAATAGAAGGGTCATCTTGATTTTGCCATCACTTCCCACCTGGTCCTCCGCCTTCTTCCTATTCTTCACCCCTAATAATCCATTCTCCTCACAGTAGCGAGAGTTATCTTTTTTTAAAAATGTAAATCAGATCACATCACTTCTCTGCGTATGACCTTCCAGTGGCTTCCCACTTACAGTTAGAATAACTACTGTGGCCTTTAAAGGACTCTCTATTCATGATCTGTCATGTACTGGCTCCATCCTCTTCTCTGAAAACTGTCCCCTTGTTTCCTGGACCTCAGTCACACTGGCCTTGTTGTTCTTCCTTTAATAAGCCAGGCTTGATTCAGCTTCCAGGCGTTTAAACTTGCTCTTCCTTCTGCCCAGAATGCTCTTCCCAGTCTCTGTCTGGCTGCCTTCATCTCGAGAGTCAGGTCCCTGGCGGCTATTCAGTTTGTACTTATTCTGCACATCCGAACAGGCAGCACACCTGTGCGATCAAGGTCAAAAAGCCTCTTATCACTTGCAGGAGATAAAAGGTATAAATCACATCAAGCCTGTATGAGGCAAGTGATTTGGGGTTTTTGCTCACAGTCCTATATACTCACGGTAATTTTTTTTTTCTTTACAGGTTATTTTCCGAGCTTTGTCACCGCCATACGATGCAGAGAACCCTTACAGTGCCAAAGTGCAGGAGCAGCTGAAGATCACCAACCTCCGCGTGCAGCTGCTAAAACGGCAGTCTTGTCCCTGTCAGAGAAATGACCTGACTTCAAAGCCTCAACATTTTACACATTATGCAATCTATGATTTCATTGTCAAGGGCAGCTGCTTCTGCAACGGCCATGCTGATCAATGCGTACCTGTTGATGGCTTCAGACCGGTCAAGGCCCCAGGAGCATTCCACGTGGTATGTAAAACAGGTCCTCCCCTGTGAAAAACAAACCATGAGTTACCTTCAGCTTTGGGCATTGGTAATCTAAGTTCCCTCAGAGTTTGTCTGTGCTCATCTAGCCCTTCCTGTTTCTCCCTTGCCTGATTCACTCTTCCGACTCCATACTCATCCTAAAAAGTGCCAGTTAACTTGTTTTTTAATCTTCAATTTTAGAATTATAAATAGTCAGGCATGATAACCAGATTCCGGGGAACACATCCATGCCAATCGTTAGTACCATGACCTTCAGATATGAAGTGTAAGGTGAGGAGCAGGAGGGGTTGGCATAATCATACTCGCGGTATTATCACACAGAGCCAGCTTGGACAGTAAATGGGGACCATTGTTGAGTTGATTTTAAAGGGGAAAAAACAAGAACCTCAGTTTAATGCCTGGTATCTTTTGCTGTCCGGCTAATAGAATAATAATTCTCCTCTGTGAAGAGTGGCCTGACCCCCTGTCACCCTAAGGCAGAGTTAAACCCTCTTTCCTCTATGGTCACGCATCCCCTTGTGTTTTCCTCTGAACTTTTACTTGTCTACATCTCTTTGGAGATCACAAACTCCCGAGGATGGGGAATGTGTGGTCTTTGTATCCTCAGGACAGTGTGTTAACTGAGCCAGAGTTAGGTGTTTGGTAGATGTTTGATTGAATGATATCAACACAGGAATAGAAAAATGATGAAAAATTACAGTCATTGTCCTCACATCACCTTCTCCTCTCCCCCCCCATAAAAAAAGACATGAAATGGCTCAGACAGCAAGTACCTTTTTGGGATGCACCCAGAGCTATGGCTGGGGATTGGGCAAAGAGAAGGCAAGGAGGAGAGCACTCCAATTTTTAAATTTTATATTTTGCTCTGATACTTCTGTTAAAAGCAAAAAAATAAATAAAAATTTAAGACCTCAATGTTTCCTTACTTCATATCCTAGAGAGGAGACTTCCATATTTGTCTTTCTCCCAGCCCTGATAGAGGACAGGGCCATAAGGGACCATGAACCAGTTAGCCAGCAGAAGAGTTTGTGTTTGCTGGGCTAAGTCCCTGGGGTGCACGACAGCTTTGGGGTGATGAAAATGACCAGGGCAGCAACCAGAGTTTCAAAAACAGAAACAATGCTATTCCTTTAGAAACGAAGCTGGGGCTTCCAAGTTGGAGAAAATGGAGCACTCACCCAGCAGACACCTACTAGTTTGCAGATGCAAATGGATCTTTGAGCTAGCATTGCTTCAAATAAAGGATGGAATAATTTGTAATACCTAAGTTAATGGGGTTTAGCTATGATTCACCTAGAAAATAACCCAGATATTCTAGAGATGTGTCAATCTACTAGACCGTAAACTAGAAAGTTGGTGTGAGGTAGAATGCAATAAATGTCTGCCATTATATTTCAGTGAATGAGTGAAAGGAGACTTTCACTCAGGTTGCAATGGGCTGAGTGTTACTGCACCTCCAAAATTCATATGTTGAAAACCTAATCACAATGTGATGGGATGTAGAGGTGGGACCTTTGGGAGGTAATGAGGTCATGAGAGTAGAGACCTGATGAATGGGATTAGTGGCCTTAAGAGACCAGAGCACTAGCTAGCTAGCTCTCTTTCTGCTACGTAAGGATACAGTGAGCAGGCAGCAGTCTGTTACCCAGAAGAGGGTCCTCACGAGAACCTGACGCTGCTGGCACCCTGATCTTAGACTTCCAGTCTCCATAACTGAGAAATAAATTTCTTTTGTTCATAAGCCACAAGCTGGTCAAGGTATAAAGCCTGGAAAACTGCAAGCTGAAGACCAACCCCACTGGCCACATGGGCTGTGACTGTCTCCCCAAATGGATTCCTCTGTGCTTCCAGAGGCATGGCTGGCCAGGCCATGCTGTGGCACCTCCACAAAGGCAAGTACCTTCATACACTAGATGGCAGGGACACCATCAAAGCCCTGGGATTCAGCCCCCACCACTATTGGCTCTGGGCCGCCACAGGCCACAGCATCAAGATCTGAGACTTGAAGGACAAGATCATTGCAGATGAACGGAAACAAGAAGTTATCAGTACCAGCAGCAAGTCAGGGCTGCCCCAGTGCTCCTCCTTGGTCTGGTCTGCTGATGGCCAGACTCTTTGCTGGCTACGCAGATGACCTGGTACAGGTGTGGCAGGTGACCATCAGCACCCCCTAGAAATATATGCCAGAGTTTTAGAAATTAAAAAAATGGCTTTCTGACTTAAAAAAAGAATTCTATTAATTCTGCTAAATTCAAAAAGGGATAAATAGACAGAGTTAACAGAAACTTTTGCAAAAGTCTTAAAATATAACTATTCTATACAGTCTTCTGCCAGTAAGAAAGCTGTCAGGCTATGAGCCTGAGCCTCCACGTCTGCACTGCTGACCCGCCACTCCATTCTGCCACTACCCACCAAACTTCTTGCTTCCACCATGGCGTTGTGCATTCCAGCAGTGTCCTGTCCAAAATCACTGCCACCTTCCACCCCAACCTCACCAGCTGGCCTCTGCAAGAGTCAGCTCCTGGTGAGCTCATGTGGAGATGGGGCCCCAACATCCAATCCTGGGAGTCACAAAAGCCTATAAGAGAGACACCAGCAGTAAAAAGAAGAATCTTGTAGGTGGTACCTACCAATATCATGGAAAAGCCTTATGTCCTCTTAGCGTCTGGAAGGCAGAGGCCTAGATTGCTGCAAAAAATTTGAACAAACAAAATATGCCCCTTGCAGGACTGGCTGAATTTTGCAAGGCATCTTTAGAACTAATCCTGGATGAGAACTGGAAAGTGTTGGAAATTGGCTAGAATGTCACTGTGCAGACCATTTCTGGAACTGAGGCCTTAGGGATCAGAGCTAGTTTTCTGCAAAGATTTTTTAAGTTCAGCCAAGATGTCTTTCTGCCAAACCATGAGACACACCGGCATGCAGCTACAAGGTTATCAATACTATGACCCCGAGACTTGTGGCTTTGACTTCACAGGCACTAGGGAGGACATTTCAAAAATGCCAGAGTGAAGTGTTCTGCACACTCCTGCCCACAATCCCATGGGAGTGGACCTTCATCCTGAGCAATAGGAGGCAACAATAGCAGTGAGAAAAAGAATTCTCTACGTTCTTTGACATGGCCTACCAAGGCTTTGCCAGTAGTGATGGTAACAAGGATGCCTGGGCTGTGCAACACTTCACTGAAGAGGGCATTAATGTTTGTCTCTGCCAGTCCTCTAGCAAGAACATGGGCTTCTATGGTAAGCATGTGGGAGACTTGACTGTGCTCTGCAAAGATGCTGATGAAGTCAGAGGCGTGGAGCCACAATTGAAGACCTTGATCCATCCCCTGTATTCCAGCCCTCCCCTCAGTGGCGCTCAGGTTACCTTGACCATTCTGACCAGCCCGGATTTTCAAAAATGGTAGTTGCAGGAAGTGCAAGTCATGGCCAACTGTATCATTAGTATGCGGATTCAGCTGGTCTCCAACCACAAGAAGGAGGACTTCTCCCACAATGGGCAGCACATCCCCAACTATACTGGCATATTTTGTTTCACAGGGCAAAGCCTGAACAGGTGGAGCAGCTGACCGAGGAGGTCTCCATCTACATGACAGAGGTCGGCCACATCTCTGTGGCCAGGGTCATCTTGGACAACTGGGCTACCTTGCTCATGAGATCACCAGATCACCAAGTAATTTCCCTGATGAGAGGGAACAGAGACAACTGTCCTGTCTTCAGCCTCTGCACATGTGAGATTCACAGGATGAGGAAGGATGGAGGTGATGAGTGGATCATTTCTTTCAACCACAGTGATTGAATGTGTTCCTCAGAAAAGAACATGTACTTCAACAGGGCAGAGGCCTCCATAGCTGGTGTCTGGAAGTGTGTGGCTTGAAACCGAACTCTCCCCCACCTTTTTATCCACAACTTTTCTGAAATAGTTAACATGTATGAGAAAGTCCTATCCTTAAAGAACCCATTAATCATGCCATTGCAATATTGCAGCAGCTTTAACTTAAGTACCTTATGGTCTTGAGAGGTCCTTGGTGAACCCAGCATGAGACATAGCCCTTGTTAGAGGCTTTGTGAGAAGACCTAATCCTAACATTAATGGTCAGCCTGCTTGTCTTCCCATGATTGAGCAATCTTATCAACAGACCATGTTAACTGAAACGTGTTTTATGAAAACCAGGGTCTGCTGCCACTACAGCAAGGAAAATAAAAGATATTGTTTCCTGTTTTGTTTAAGAAAAAAAGAAGTTTCGCCTTTTTAATGCTTCCAGGCATTTTAATGCTCCTCTCTTTTCCCTTATCTGTGCTGCCCTTTTCCTGAGGCACGAAGATCTATAACTAGCCTCGATTTTCATCCTGTTCTACTGGTTGATTGGTCATTGAACCCATCTTCTCGGGATTTATTTATTTGAAGAATGAAGGGCATAATTTGCTATTCATCCCATAACCTCATCTTTCTCAGCAAAGAATAGTGAGAGTGGGCAACTGCACCTTATTTTAGCATCCTTTTCAGTGATTGTTTAATCTTCTCCTGTTGGGTTGTTGCCTCTGCCCAGTGGGACCTCATCCTTCCATTCAGTGTGGTTGTGTAGTCCATCATCTCACATCATGCGGGTAATACCAGGAAACAGGATATTCTGGACCTTGGCTTTAACTTTAGTGTGCTGCCAGCCGGGCTCAGGCTTCACCCTTGGAAAGATAACAACCATCTGCTCTAATCATGTAGACTTATTGCAGCCTGGGTTCTCTGTTATAATAAAGTTACTGCAAGGCCCCTCTCCCGGCCCCCCCAAAAGAAAACTGTTAGCCTATTGAAAGGATCTGGATAACCAAGTAAAGGGGATTATCTAGTGTTTTTTTATTTTAAAAGGATGTGGGAATGAGAAGTCTTTATCCTAGAAGACCCTATGGGATAGAAACCACACTCCCTTACTACTCTCGGGTCACTTTGAAACTGGAAGCAACTGCCTTTTAAAAGAATGCTAG